ATGAAATTAAAACTCAGCTCCTCAAGCATGAAACCATATTTCAAGGGCTCGGTGGCCACACACTGCTCAGGGCCATCGTGTGAGCACAGCTGGAGAGCGCTCCTGTGTCCCTGGAAATTCCAGGCAGAATGCCCCACATGTTACGTGGCCAGAGAGAGCCTTTCATTCTGTATGTTAGAGACTTAGGGGAATGTTTACATGTTCTATCATACATAAGCAGGTTTGCTGTTAATCAGACAAATGGAAGCACGTGGGGTTCCTAAGGTCACATTCTGTTCCTTAAGTTGGGGGTAGTTTATTGTCATTATTTAAGGCGTAGGTGTCTGTGGGAGTATAAACTCCTTTTTAAGTGTGTGTCATTGTGAAAATATTTTAAAATACAAGGGGGGGTGGGTTGCCTGGCAGGGTACCCCTGGCAGGCCAGGCTCGTGGCTGGAAGACTTTCGGCCGAGTTTGGTTCCTGGATCCAGTGTGGCCACGTTCCTTGGCCTATTGGAGCCTCAGTTTCCCAGTTGGACAGAGTTCCTGCCTGACAAGCCTTATCAGGTTAGAGCAAGGTGTGGGGGGGTGATGTGTGGGGAGCTCTGAGGCTGAGGACCATACCGTGCGGACATGAAAGGTCAGCGAGCACCGCCGTGAGTGACCGGGGGCCTGAGGCTCGAGGCCCCACGCGCCGTGACCACCACCACAATGAGAGCCCTTGCCTGCTCCTGGGTATTTTCCGGGTGTTGCCGAGGTCACTGTGCGCAGGAGGAGTGTTGCCGTATTCCCACGAATGTCGCGCGTGGTGATCTAGGAATAACCATCTATTTGACTTATTGAAGAAGCAGGGACGTAGCCCTGGCTGTTTGCCACGCAGAGTTCTGCACGCTTTACAAACAGGTGCTCGTGTTATCCTCAGACAGCCCCGAGGTGGCTCTGCTCATTTCACGCAGGAGGAGACGAAAGAGAGTTCCCGTGACTCGCCCAGTCACACAGCTGGTGAGGAGTGGGTGGCTAACCAAGGCAGCCCGTGCTTTCCCCTTTCATCCTGCTCCTCCCGCCCCTTCAGATGTGGTCCTAGGGTGCCTTGTGTCTGTGTATCACTCTCAGGGGCATGAGATTTAAATTTTATGTGAAATCTCGTGACTGAGTGTTCCTGACTAGCTTGGTAGGTTCGATTCTGATGTTCTGGCTGAGTTTGGTGGCATGACCAAGTGGGCGTGAACTGTAGCATGAGGCCCATTGGGACACCTGTCTGATTTGCCACTTATTGGCCGTGTGACTTCTGGCAGGTTACTTCAGGTCTCTGATCCTCCAATGGGGTCTGAGAGGTGTGTAAGTTTACGGGGGCGGTGCTTGTCATCACGTCGGGCAGGCAGTCGATGGCTCCTTAGTTGCAATCCTCTCCTTCTTCCGTACCTTAGGCAGCACGCTTATGCTTGAGGATGCAGTGATGAGTAAGTCCCCATGCCTGTCTTCGAGGAGTTTACAGAATGGCCTGGGTGGGCGGAGGGCTGGGGAACTTCCCGGATCAGGGAACTGAGTTCCAGCCCATGCAGGCTCTCTCCTGCCTCGGTGACCCCGGACGGGTCGCTCTGCTCCTCTGGGCTTTCCCTGTAAGTGGGGATCTGGGTTGGCAGCACGCCGAGGCCCCATCTGTCTTGTCGCTTTCTGCTTTTCACGTTCAGGCCAGGACAGGCCTGCGCCTGGGGGGCCGGCACCCCAGCAGGTGGCCATGGGGTGCGTCGGCTTTCCCTGCAGGCCGCTCGTGTCCACGCTGCCGCGGCCTCCTCTCCCCGCGCCCTGCAGAGGCCTGCTGGCTCCGGCCAGAGTCAGAAGGTGGGAACAAAGCTGGCTTCGGTCGTCCTCTGCCCGTCGGGATCTGAGCGCAGCCGATTTTACAAGTGAAAAATGAGTCAGAGGCAGATCTTGGTGTGGGCTCCTCTGTGCCGATGGGGGCTGACAGTGACCCTCATTTAACTAGGGTTGTCTGTGAGGGTGGGGCTGCCCATTGTCTTATTGGATACGCACAGGGCTCGAGGGGGGAGGCCTGAGGGACACGAACCGAGAGGTGCAGGGGGACAGGAGCCAGCCCCGCGGTCCCCACTGTCACACAGCCTCCCTGGGAGGAGGTTGTCTCGGCAGGTAGCCAGGAAGTAAACACCTGCAATAATCCATTCAGCTCATCTTTCTACGTCCTCGTACAACTGCCACCGAGGGGGAGGCAGCTCCGTCACCTCAAGTTTAAGACTCTCATCGAAGGAGTCAGTGTCCTGTCGTTACGCACATGGATCGCACCTAGCAGGCCCGTCGGAAGAAGTGGACCCTCTTTGAGTAGGGTGACTTTTGCTGGGCAAGGTGACTGCCACAGCCAGTGGAGGGGTTCTGAGGGGGCTTCCGTGGTTTTACGACTTCTTCGCCTCATTCATGGATCTGTATAGATATGTCCACGTTGCAGTGGCCCTGGTGGCGTTACTGAGACCCTCTGAAAGGTGAGCAGGCGGAATATGACTCCCCGGCATTCACTGATCATTTTAGTCCCTGTGGACTCCTGAGAACAGGGTGGAGGGGCAGAAGACTAGAAGAAGATGGTGCACAGCCCTGCTTTCCTTTACATTTCACGGGACTAGGACGCGCCTTTCCCTCTTCGGCGCTCGGTCTTGCGAGTCCGCTGTCGCTGTGCTGGTCCTCCACAGACAGCTGCTGGCCCCTCCCCGTCTGGATGGGCGGCCGCGTGCCCGTCTCACAGCCCGTTCCCTTCTGACCAGAGCAGCATTGAGTGGGGAGGGACACCTCGGTTTCTTCTTCTTCAGATGCAAAACCTCCCTGCCTCTCAACCTGAAGACTGACGTTTACGGCTGGAATATCTCTTTTTCTTTTTCTTTTTTATCCTCACCCAAGGACATTTCTGCATTTATCTCCAGACAGAGAGGGAGGGAGGGAGGAAGAGAGAGAGAAACATTGAAGCGAGAGAGACATACCGAGTGGCTGCCACCCACAGGACCCCAGCCAGGGCCAGGGACAAACTGCAACCAAGGTACGTGCCCTTAGCGGGAACCAAGGGATTCTCCAGTCCGCGGGCCGATGCTCTAACCGCTGAGCCGAACGGGCCAGGGCTTTTTTATTTATTTTTTTTCCTTTACTGATTTGAGAGAGAGAGGAAGGGAGAGGGAGAGAGATAGAAACATGGATGAGAGAGAACATCGATTGGCTGCCTTCTGCATACCCCACATGGGGATCAGGCCCACAACCTGGGCATGTGCCCAGACCGGGAATGGAGCCGGCGACCTCTTGGTGCATGGGCCGACGCTCAACCACTGAGCCACACCAGCCGGGCTCTCTCTCTTTCAGCATTGATGTTTGGGACGTAGCAGTGTTAGCTGATGAAGAGAGGTGGCGGTGAAAATACTGCTCGGCTAACCTGTAAACGCTTGAGGAAAAAGTAACCATCACCTCGGTGGTTTTTTCTTCCGTGCCTCACGCGATCAGTTTGGGTTCACTCAAGAGTAAGAGGTTGACATGACCAGTCTAGAAGTGCGGAGAAAGAAAGCGATTGGTCTGACAAACTGGCAGTTACAAAGTAGCCACGGGGACTAGAGTACAGCAAAGGAAACACAGTCAGTGATACTGTAATAACGATGCGAGGCACCAGCTGAGTCCTGGAAATATCGAGGAGAATGCTACGTAAAGTGTGTGATCGTCTAACTGCTATGCTGTACACCTGCAACCAATACAAAATAAAATTGGAAGTGGAAAAAATAGACCACTCTTGAGAGCCTTGGGTCTGCCTTTCTGCTGGGTATGTCACACGGTCTCACTTCCTGTCTCCTCCGCCCTGGGAAGCTGGCCGTGCTGAGAGCTGAGGACTCAGACTCAGTGTGTCCAAAGTCTCACCGCTTGGGAGTGGCCTCATCCAGACTCGAACCAAGGTTCACTCCAAAGCGATGGCCATTAACTGGGAAGCCATAAAGCCTCCCAGGAACTGCTCAGGGGAACTATCCTTGAACCCAACTCTGCAGGGTACATTACATTTAGATAAGCAGGCAGGAAAAGAAAGGGAATTCTGGGCAGGAGGAGCAGTAGATACAATCAAAGAGCCCGGGAAAGGGAATAATGCCCGAGTGAGGGCCTGCTGCATAGTAGGTGCTCAATAAATATGTATCACATGAGTGAATAAAGACTCAAACCGACAGTTATCTTCCCTGTAGACCATGAGCCTTTTGAGGGCAGGGATGTGGCCTTAGAAATCTTTGGATGCCCCATAGCTCCCAGTGGTAAATGAACAGTAAACATTGAATGAATGTGTTCTGATGGGATGAATGAATGGAGGGCAGGGGCGGGATGGTGGGACATATGGCGGAAGGCTGTCAGTGCTGGGATGAGGCGCTCCTGTGTTCTCCTTGAGGCATTTCTTAAAAAGTTGTCTGTTGATGCACAGCCTTGTAGGGTCTGCGGAAACGAGGCAGTGCCTAGACTCTGATGGGCGTGCCCAGAAAGCGTGGTCGAGCCCAGCTTAGAAACCACTTTTCTGTCGGGCCAGCCTTAACCTGGCCCCGTTGGCACTGCTGTCCTACTTTGGGGTGATCACGCTGTTTAAACCAAGAGAGATCTGTAAAAACTTGCCCTGGCCCATTTGGCTCAGCGGTTAGAGCGTGGGTCCATGAACCAGAGTCGCGGGTTTGATTCTGGTCAAGGGCATGTCCCTGGGTTTCGGTTTGGTCCCCGGCCCTGGTCGGGGTCGTGTGGAAGGCAACCAATCAATGTGTCTCTCTCACACTGATGTTTCTCTCTCTCCCTCCCACTCTATCTGAAGATAAATGGAAAATATCCTCAGGTGAATATTTAAAAACAAAACAAACAAAAAAACGTGTGACTGGAACCCCGCAGGCTAGATCTGTTATTGGGGAGTCCCAGAGTTGTTTCTAGGATAGTTTGGCTGGAAGGTCCCAGCTAACTTCCTGCAAGGCGTGGTGTGCTCAGCCTAGGAGTTTTCAATAAAAGCTGTTCTCTCTTTTCAGGTGTTGACTAAATTTGTGGTTTTAAGAAACCCGACAGCCTGAAGGCAGCAGCCCTGGGAGAAGCCCTTTCTGTGGGCAGTCAGAACCTTCTGGTCCAGAGGAGAAGCTGTCCCCTCACCTGGACTTATGACCCGCGGCCTTGCCCCCAGCCTGCCCATCGAGTTCCACAAAATGGGCTCCTTCCGCAGGCCCAGACCGCGCTTCATGAGCTCCCCGGTGCTCAGCGACCTGCCCCGGTTCCTAGCCACCCGGCAGGCCTTGCAGCTGAGCTCCAACTCGGCCTGGAACAGGTAACGGAGGCGGCCAGGTGTGGAGTTGAGCGCTGCTAGGGGCCAGAGCAGGGCGGGGGACCAGCTTAGTTTCTGCTGCTTCCGAGGGCTCTGCTTCAGAAGGTCATGATTGATGGGGCAGTTGATGAAGAGGGGATGTTTTCCTACAGAGACTGCATCTGTGAGCTTGCCTTGCTTGAGTAGAGGCAGAGGGGACCACTGGGGGCCTCTGGGCTTGCAGAGCCGCTACCCAGCCCCGGACAGTGGGGTTGGAACGTAGGTACTGCTCATGCTCATTTGTCACATCCCCAACTCAGAGGACCCGAGGGTGGGACCATATAAGTAACCTCAAGTCACCGTCTACCTATTTGGGAAGATTACACATGTATCTGTGAAGAGCTAAATGAGCATATATGAGAGATCATCACATAACCAGTGAGCCAGGTGTTTGGGAGAGGAGATGTTGGGCTGTTTTTGTTATTTTTTACTATTTCTACTCCTGTATCTAGAGTAGAAAATCTAAACTGTAGAAAGAGAGAGTCCTTTGTGCTATTAAAATTTCCAAATAGGGTGATAAATCATTGTTACCCATTTGCTGCGGTGGTTGGAGACACGGCTTTTTGGAAGGTGTCTAGCCGACCTTTTGCACACCAGTCAGAGCCGAGAATCAATACTCTGTCTTGAGCTTCTGTGGCCACTACTTTCAAACCTCTGCACTTACTCTTCGGATAGATTAAATGCCTCGTTCTTTGAAAGCATTACTGACTTCTTTTGGATCAGAAGTTTGGATCATTATGTCTTCTCAGTGAACGCACCACTCATGATGGGGAGGGAGAGGGGTCTCCGAAAGGTTCTGATGTTAACTGGATCCTTGTTCTTTACGAAAGGCCTGGGGCCCTTCGATAACGACAAGACTGTAATCAGCTCCTTGCTGAAATATTGGGGTCCCAGAGAAGGTGGAGTCGTGATTTAACGATGGCCCCTCAAGGCATTGACCCTGCAGCCTGTACACCTCACAGGGCTGGGAACGGAAGGGCAAGTGAGGCTGGCCCAGTGCGAGCCTTCCAAGGAAAGCACTGTTAACAATGAAAAAAGGCAAGAAATTATTATTTCCTATGAGCCCCAGGCTGCCCTCTGGGGGGGCCTCGAGGTGAAGGACCCCCAGGCATAAGTGTGCTGCTGCTTGGAGTAAACACCATTGCAGATTCCTGCAGGCCCAGGGGTGCTGGCCACGCGGTTTCCTGAGAGCAGGTCCCACCGCCTGCCCTTTATTGTTGCCACTCACTAGCAGGGCTGCCAGGAGGTGAGGGAGGAAGATGCCAGCCTGCCTGAAAGTGGGGGAGGGGCTGCGTTTGGGTCCTCTTGACTTCCGTCCTCCTTCCTCTCCCAGGACCGTGGAAGGACAGTGATGGGCTCCAGGGATGGAGCATGTGGCTGTGTGGCTGCCACCGGCTTTCGGGCCCTGTCAGCACCTGCAGCCCCGAGCTGTTTGCTGAGATGGCCCTGGGGAGGCGGACCCTCTCACCAGGGCTTGTTTCTGTCCCCTGCAGCGTGCAGACTGCCGTGATCAACGTCTTCAAAGGCGGAGGCTTGCAAAGCAACGAGCTCTATGCACTGAACGAAAACATCAGGTACGTGCCCGCTGGGCCGGAGCCCGCGTGTTCCTGTGGGCTGAGCTGGGGCAGAGGGGGCACCCCCGCCGGGAGCCTTATCTTAAGTTTTGTTTTGTGCCTGGTTCTTGTTGCTGCTTCTGTCGGCTTTTATGTGGCTCTTCAGGCTGAGTTCTGAGACCCTTGTCGGTCTAGACTTCTACTCCAGAGGGGGTTCATCCATTTGTTCATGGATGTAGTGTGTGTGTGTGTGTGTGGTGTGTGGTGTGTGTGTGTGGTGTGTCTGTGTGCGTCTGTGTGTGTGGTGGGGGTGGAGGGCTCATAGATAGTAGCTGTCTTCTATTCTGTGAACACTGATTATGCGCTGCTTAACCACTAGGCACCATGTTAGGCAAGATGCCCAATGATTGTAACCAGATTGCTGGGGCTTTTATTGCTGTTCTTTTTACTAAGTGACTTAGCAACTTTTTGTGTGCCTCAGTTTCCTCTCATGTAAAACAGGGATCGAAAGTGTGTCTACTTTCATAGGATCCTTGTGTGTATTGGACTGAGCTGTGCTCAAATGAGCCTTTCGAGCACGGCTGGAGCACACTAAGTGCTTGGTCCTTGTAGCTCTTACTGTCCTTCTCAATTACTGTCATTCCTGTTAGATTTTGGTGCTGCAACCCTCAATAAGGCGTGGTCCTTGAGGAGTTTATTATCTTCCAGACTCTTCCCAATAGAGTAGTGTCAGCTTTCATCCATCCATCCATCCAATATTTGAATGCCTCCCTACTGGCCAGGGACTGGAGAGACTACAACGAGCAAAGACAGACATGGACCTTGCTCTCCTGGAATTTATATTCCATCAGGAAGATAATCATTAGTTAACCAATCACACTTGGAAAATGTAGAAGTGCCATTGTGACAGCTGCTACCATGCAGCTGAGTGACAAAAGCGTGTCCCTATGGCGTGAGCCTGCCAAGGTGGCCCCCAGGGGGGATGCGATGCTGTGCTGTGAGCTGAAGCATCAGTGGGAATTAACTAGGTGAAGAGGGCTCCAGGTGGTGGAAACTGCAGTTCAAAGGTCCTGTGGTGGCATTGAGCAAGGAACTGAAAGAAGACCCCTGTGCACAGAGCGCCAGAGGTTGGGTGGTGGTGTGAGGGCAGAGAGGTGGGCAGGGCCCTGAGCACCACGGTCTCCTGGGGACAGGAGGTTAAACATCGGGTCTTTTAATGCCCTGGTGTTCATTCCTCTCTGGTATGTTAAGTACAAAACATTAAGGCAAAAGACCCAACCCTGGAGTGGCAGAACAATAAACAAGGCCATTACCCAGGTCCTGTTTACACTTAGCGGAGGCCTAAGAGTCAATGAGGTGTTTGAGCTCTGCTTTCATTAAGACCTTTAGAGCTCAGATGTAAACAGAGTTGTTAAATTTCTACCCAGGTGCTTCAATTTCACATAATAATTACACAACTCCGGAAAGAGTCGATAGATGTCATCTAGCCCAAAGCCTCCTTTCCCAGAGGAGGAAACCGAGGCCCAAGCAGCTGTGTGACAGAGGCGGCGCTGGGCAGCCGACCCTGAGTTCCAGGAGCTCAGTTTTACTCCAAGAACAGCCCCTGGCCTCTGCAGGAGGGTCTTCAGCCCACAATGGAAGCACAGATAAAAGCGGTGACTCAGGAATGTGCTGATTGTTACTCACTTCGGGAGACCAAGCCTGAAATCCTGTTGAAAGTCTTTGTTTGTGGGCAGCTAGGAAAAGTGTAGGCCAAGCCAGATGTCCCCAGCCCTGTGCGCTCAGGGCGAGGCTGGTGCACGGAGGTGAGATCGCTCCCCCTGCCGGAAGGGGATTACCCTGCAGAACGCAGGGCCAGTGACTTACCATCTTATTTCTCAAGAAGAAGGGGAAATTGGGATTTTTATGTGAAATTTCCTGGCTTTTAAATGTTGATAAATAATCCACATTTCCTCAAACATCAGTTCAGGCCAAACAAAACACATCTGTGGGCTGACTTTGACCAACAGGCTATCCACTCTTAGGGTCCACGATGTCGTGCATGGGGGAGGCATGGCCAAGGGAGGCGTGCGTGGCCGAGGGAGGCGTGGCCGAGGGAGGCGTGGCCGGGGAGGCTTGGCTGAGGAGGAAGGCGTGGCCGGGAGGCGTGGCTGAGGAGGAAGGCGTGGCCGGGGAGGCGTGGCCGGGGAGGCGTGGCTGAGGAGGAAGGCGTGGCCCAGGGCCTAGCACTAAGGCCACGTGAGGGGGATAAGGGAGCCTGACAAAGCTCTAGGCACCTTTCACAGACATCCGCACACTTACCCCCTCGCAGCCCTGGGAGGCAACCCTTGTCACCAGCAGTTTATCCCCAAATTTGTGGATAAGAAAAACGAAATGACTTGTCGGGGCCACATGCCAGAGGGCGGAGTCAGGATGTGGACTACTGTCTCACTTGGACACCTGCATTAGTTTGCTTAGGCTGCCGGACAAATGCCACAGACAAATGCCACAGACAAATGCCACGGGTGGCTTACCCAGCAGACATTTCTCACCGTTCTGGAAGTGGGGGTGCTGGCAGACGGGGTCCCCCGTGAGAGCTCTCTTCCTGGCCACCATCTTGTGTGTCCACAGGGCTTCTTTTTCATGTTCAGCAGGGGAGGGAACCAGCTCTCTGGTGTCCCTTCTTAAAGGGCACTAATCCCATCGTGGGACCCCACCCTCATGACCTCATCGGAACCTAATCACCTCCCACAGGCCCTGCCTCCTGATGCCATCATGTTGGTGAGAGTGGGTGGGGGGCTTCAGTATATGCATTTTCAGGGGGATGCAGCTCAGTTCCTAGCAACAACTGTAGGTGTCTGAGAGAGAGGTTTCAGGTTGGAAGAAGGGTTTAGGTGATGGTCTTGAACTTCCTGCCATCATCCCTTTTGGGGTCTCTGAGCCCCATCTCTTATCATTTGCTGTGATTCTTAACACCCTCCGAGGAACATGGCGCTCCCCTAACCCTCTGCTGCTGGGTTCCGGGGGCTGCTGGATAGTCCTCTCTGTGTTTTAAGTGCTTTTCAGGCCGATGAGCAATACATATGGTTGGGTTTGAACTGATTGCTCATATGTGAACTGAACCCAAAGTCAAAGCTGTTTAAAAACCAGGACTTCTGTTATTCCTATTCTGTACCGTCCATCCCTTGGCCCTTCTCCAGGAGGGTGGTTAGATTAGGGATGGGCGTTCACACCACAGAAACAACTCAGTATAACTGGAACGTGAAACACACCCCAGGCTTATATGTGACCTGGCCGTCCAAGTTGAATAACGTGAGCTGACCTGCACATGTGTCCACATCTGTCAGTGCCACATGGACATGAGCACAGCTGCCCTTACTTCAGTAATTAAAGTGCCAAAAGACACATGCTATTCTCTAGTTACATTCAAATAGGCAGTTGGGTTTTGCTTTTCCTTTTCTCTTCTTCTTCTTCTTCTTTTTTTTTTTGGAAAACCTGTTTGCAGAATAGATCCAGAAACTCCACAGAGTTGAGGAATGACCAGTGTTGGGAGGGTACGTACATGAGGGTGGAGGGCTGGTGTGGCTCAGTGGTTGAGCATCATCCTGTGCACCAAAAGGCTGCTGGTTTGATTCCTGGTCAGGGCACCTGCCCGGGTTGTGGGCTTGATCCCCAATGGGCGGTGTACAGGAGGTAGTCAATTGATGTTTCTCTCTTCTCTCCCCTCTCCCTTCCTGTCTCTCTCTAAATCAATAGGAAATCTTAAAAAAATGAATAAATAAACTAGCTGTAGGACCTCGGGCACAGCATTTCATTTTTCTAAGATTCTTTTTTTCTTTTATATAATGGAGGTTACACTAACACCAGTCTCATGGTGGTGGGGCAGACTGAGATCATGCCAAAAATGTCATCGGTACAGCATCCAGCGCATAATCAACCTTAGCCATTACCATCCTGTTACTCCGAAAACTCAGCAATGCTATCGTGATCGGTGGTGGTGAGCACCACGCACCGGAGCGTGTGGTGAAGTTGCCCACGCGCCGTAGAAGGATTTCTCTAGCAGTCTGGGTGAGGGGAGCTCACGTTGACCTAGACGGCTCCTGGCGGGGCTCCCCCAGAGTGCGCTGGACTTGGCATGTGGGCCAGGCTCAGGCCTGCAAGGAGAACCAGCTGTATCTCCTTTCCGGAGGAAAGAACAGAGGAAATGACTCTCAGTTCCCCATTCTGCTGAAGCCAAACAGTAATAAAGTCTGTTGGATTGTACCAGCTCAGTGTCAAAGCCTCAATCAATCAGCTTCCCGAGGTCACCCCGACAGCCCCGGCCGTCCTTCTAACTGCAGAGTTAGTGTGTTCCCCGGGAAACGCGAGTTCCTTTACAGACAGGGTGGGGCAAAAGGAGGTTCACAGGTGTTGGTAATACAATAATGAATAAATGATAATGCAAGAATAAACTCTGCGTTTTGTGTATTCAAAATGGTAAACCCTACTTTTGCCCCTCCCTGAATTAGCCCATGCAGAGGATGACCAGGAAGGTAGACCTTTTATGTAACTGGGTCCTGAAATGCAGTCCTTACAGTTGGTCCTTTTTCTAAAGACATGTTATCAAAAATGAATTTCAGCCCTGGCCGGTTTGGCTCAGCGGTTAGAGCGTTGGCCTGCGGTCCAGAGAGACCCAGGTTTGGTTCCCGCTAAGGGCATGTACCTCGGTTGCACTTTGTCCCCGGCCCTGGTTGGTCGTGCAGGTGGCAGCCACTCGATGTGTCCCTTTCATGTCGATGTTTCTCTCTCTCTCCCCCTCTCTCCCTCCCACTCTATCTGAACAAAAAATGGAAAGATATCCTCGGGTGAGGATAAAAACAAAAAAAAGAATTTCAGTATAAATTTTAGCTGGTAGACTTTGGAGTGGCTATGAGAAAGAATTTAGGACTCGGGACAAATTCTAAAACATGAGTAGATTAAGAGAAGGGTGTGGAGATCCGTGAAGAACAAATCCATCAGGAATGTCACACCTCAATAAAGTGACACATTTTCCACAGGTAGAG